ATGATTTCTTTCATGAGAAATACAAAGTATAAGTGATTTAAAGAGAAAAATAAAGGGCCCGGGATTTATCTCAGTGGCTCTGCCACCTGCCTTGTAAGTGCAAGGACCTGAGTAAGATCCCTGATACCAAAAAATAAAATAAAATAAAAAATAAAGAGAAAAATAACATAGATAATAGGAAACAGGGAGTTATGTGCTTTGCAAATATTAAGTGAACCAAAGATCAAGGGAGGAAAGAGAGGAAGTGAAAATGAAAATGTGTTATGTACATGTACCAACTCCCCATAATGAATGTAATTGTAATATATTGAAAACCTGCAGTAACAGAAAATTTTAAAAATTAAAAAATTTTTCAATCATTTTAACAATTTAAAGAATTGAGTATTCAGGGTACCATGATTTGGATAATTTGATGACCCATTCTCTCTGGATCTTATATGAATATTGTCTTCACAAATTGTGTTTTCCATTTTGGAAGTTTTGTGTTCTGTTCCTATAAGAACCACATTACACTTATGACTACTATCATTTTATAGGAATTCTTTTATACTTTTGAATCAGTGTGATACAAACTGTATACCTATGCACTATTTTTATATTTTACCTTTTCACAGGGTTATGAATTTCATGAAATCTGTTTCTCTGTCTTTTGCCTTTTTTAGATGCACATTGTGGCACATTGGCTGGGATGACTAGTGGCTGCTTGTTGAATATGATGATTTAAGAAATAATGTGATCACATACTAGAATTGTGTCAAAAAGTGTGATAGAGATTTACAGGGTAAACTAAATAAAAATTAGAGAAATCTTTCTTGATGATAAACATGTACTCAGCTTTGTGTAAGTCAACAGGCTACTGAAACACTACTGAAATGACAAACCTCCATTCATTTAGCAAAAATTAAGGAGGAAATTTAGGAATATTGTGAGAGCACTGGGACAGGTGTTAGTTCCCATAAATAAGTGGAAGCTACATAGAAATTAGTTAAAAACAAAAGAATGGGCCACCATTCTACCGCTCCAAGGGCAGAGGGGGTGAGCCAATCCCAGTGCCCAGGAGGAGGCTCCCCCACCACCATTCCACAACTCCCAGGGCAGAGAAGGTGAGCCACACAGGTGCCAGCAGCACCCCCCCACACCCCATGAAAATGAAAAGACATGTAAAACAAGCCTCAAAAACAGGTTTCCAAATCACCTACAGCAACCCCAAAGGGAAATGAGATGGAACACTCTGATACTCAACCACCTGGACTCCCTGAACTGGCAACAAAAG